GTGATGTGCCGCCCGTCTCCGGCCTCCAAAGTGCTGGGATGTTACAGGCTTGAGCCAACCGCGCCCGGCCAGTAGTGCGGTTTCATGTAGTAGTTGCTGTTGCTGACACCCAAATCCCTAAGGTTGATGAAGACCTAATTAAATACCACTTCTTTTTGTTGTTTGTTTGTTTGTTTCTTGAGACAAGTTTCGCTGTGGGTGCAGGCTGGAGTGCAATGCGCCATCTCGCTCACTCAACCTCCTCCTTCCGTGTTCAAGCGATCTCCTGTCCAGCCTCCCGATGTACTGGATTAAGGCGCATGGACCACTGCCACCTGATGTTTGTATCTTTTAGTAGAGACGGGTTTTCATCCCTTGGTCAGCTGGTCTCAAACCCTGACCTCAGTGATCCGCCCACCGTGGCGTCCCAAAGGCTGGATTACAAAAAAGACACACACAACACGGCCTTATTACCCAGTTCTGAAGCACTGAGTTTTTGAGGGTTGAGAAAGGAAACTGACAAACACAAAACAAATAGCCCAATTAACCTTACCACTAACAAACATTTATTCCAAATATCTGTTATTGGATCAAGGGGATATAAGCTGTTGACTCAGTGGACCCAGCTAGGGGATCCTTTTTGCCTGAATGCTGGGGCCAAGCTCAAGAAGCACTTAACGTTTACCTGGTTTATATAAAAAGCTGTATTTCAAGAGAAATATAATGAGATAAGAAGTATGAGGGGAAGGCGGATTTTCCGAAAGTACAGGCAAGTATCAGCCCTCCGTTCTGGGCCTTCAGTGCTATGAAGCAGCAGCTATTGAAGTAAATGCAGCAAGGCAGAAGAGAGGCCTGGGAAAAGCATCAGGATTGATGACACATTCGAGCCTCTGCATGCCCCATTAGCACTTATTCATACAGACAAATAGAAGTATTCATTCGCTGAAATGGTTCTAATGCTACTTTGCCGTTTAAAGCATACCGTGTAAGAAAAAAACAAACCATGGCTGGGCTTGGCGGCTCATGGCCTGCTAACCCGCCCTTTGGGAGGCCAACTGTCAGACTGTATCACTTGATCCAGGGGAGTTTAAGAACAGCCTGGGCACATGGTGAAACCCGCTTACAAAAACAACACAAAAAATGTCACCGGGGTCATGGTTAGTGTAATGCCTTCCTAGTCCAAGCTACTCTGAGGGCTGTGGCAGCGAGAATAGCCAAGAGCCCATGAGGTCAAGCTGGTGTGACCCATGATTGTCCACTGTACTTCAGCCTCTGGACCATCGAGAGTGGACCACCCTGTCTCAATAAAACAAAAAACGGGCCCGGTAACAGTGCAACACGCCTGAATCCAGCCTCAGGAGCCCCAGGAGAGTGGATTGCCTGAGCCTCCAAGAGTCTTAGGACCCACCCTGGCCAACATGGTACAACCCATCACTACTAAAATACAAAAATTAGCCATGTTCCCAGCCCAGGCCATGGCGTGGCTCATGCCTTGTAAATCCCAGCACTCTGGGAGCTGAAAGCAGGTGGAATCATGAGGTCGAGGCCGCTTCGAGACAGCCACCTTCGCCAACAAGTGAAACCCCTCTACTAAAAATCACAAAAATTAGCTGGGTGTGGTGGCCAAGAGCCCTGTAATCAAGCTACTTGGAAGGCTGAGCAGAGAATCGCTTGCAACCCGGGAGGTGGAGGTTGCAGGCGAATCGAGACATCGCACTCCTGACTCCCAGCCTGGGTACAGAGCTAGACTCCCATCTCGAAAAAAAACAAAAAGGCCCAGTTGTGGCTGGCAGGTACCTGTAGTCCCAGCTACTCAAGGCAGGCTGGAGTGAGGCACAAGAATTGCTTAAACGCCTGTGGAGGTTGCAGTGAGCGAGATCTACGCCACGGCACTCAACCTGGGCAACACAGCAAGATTCGGCTAAGAGTGAACTGTTCCTGGGAGGAGTGGCCTTGGATTTCCTCACAACCTCCCCTAAGCAGTTGGGGTGGCAGTGGGGGTGTCTGGGTGGAGTCATGGTCAGAACCCTTCCCTCCAGCCAGGGCTGATCCCCAGGCAAGCTTACTTAACCTATCTGATCCATTTCTTTTTTTTTTTTTTTTTTTTTTTTTTTTAGACAGAATCTTGCTGTGTTGCCCAGGTTGGAGTGCAGTGGCGTGATCTCAGCTCACTGCAACACTCCCAGGTTTAAGCAATTCTTGTGCCTCACTCAGCCTCCTGAGTAGCTGGGACTACAGGTACCTGCCACCACAACTGGCCTTTTTTTTTTTTCGAGATGGAGTCTAGCTCTGTCACCCAGGCTGGAGTGCAGTAGTGCGATCTCGATTCCCTGCAACCTCCACCTCCCGGGTTGAAGCGATTCTCCTGCCTCAGCCTCCCAAGTAGCTGGGATTACAGGCTCCTGCCACCACACCCAGCTAATTTTTGTATTTTTAGTAGAGATGGGTTTCACTGTGTTGGCAAGGCTGGTCTCGAACGCCTGACCTCATGATCCACCTGCTTCAGCCTCCCAGAGTGCTGGGATTACAAGCATGAGCCACCATGCCTGGCTGGAACTGGCTAATTTTTTGTATTTTAGTAGTGATGGGTTTCACCATGTTGCCCAGGGTGGTCTTGAACTCCTGAGCTCAGGCAATCCACTCTCCTGGGGCTCCTGAAGTGCTAGGATTACAGGCGTGAGCCACTGTACCCGGCCCGTTTTTTGTTTTTATTGAGACAGGGTGTCACTCTCATGTCAGAGCTGGAGTACAGTGGCACAATCATGGCTCACCACAGCCTTGACCTCTGGGCTCTGCTGATTCTCCTGCCTCAGCCTACCAAGTAGCTTGGACTAGAGGCATACACTACCATACCCGGCTAATTTTTTGTGTGTTTTTTGTAGAGACGGGGTTTCACCATGTTGCCCAGGCTGATCTTAAACTCCTGGGATCAAGTGATACAGCTGACTTGGCCTCCCAAAGTGCTGGGGTTACAGGCATGAGCCGCCAAGCCCAGCCATGGTTTGTTTTTTCTACACGGTATGCTTTAAACGGCAAATAGCATTTAGAACGCATTCAGGAAGAATATCTATTGTTCCTGTAGGAAAAGTGCTAATGGAGGCATGCAGAGGCTCGACAATGTCATCAAGTCCTGGAGTGCTTTCCAGGCCTCTCTTCTGCCTTCTGCAATGTTAGGCTTCAATGTCAAGCTGCTTCCTTCAGTAGCACTAGAAGCAGCAACGAGGGCTGCATACTTCCCTGCTCACTTCCAGAAATCCCTTCCTCCATACCGTGCCCTATACCTCTTTTCATCTATATCCTTTGAAATACACTTTATGATAAACCAGTAAACGTTAAGTGCTTCCTTGAGCTGCCCAGCATTCTGAGCAAGAAAAGTGATTCCCACTAGCTGGTCCACTGAAGTCACACGCTTATATCCCTGATCCAATAACCAGAATCTGGAATAAAACCTGTTGATTAGTGTAAGTCAATTGGGACTCATTTCTGGACCTGGAATGTAGTCAGTTTCCTTCTCAAACCCTCAAAACTCTTAAGTGCTTTCAGAACTGGGAATAAGGCCGGGCACAGTGGCTCACACCTGTAATCCAAGCACTTTGGGAGGCCAAGGTGGGCGGATCACCTGAGGTCAGGAGTTTGAGACCAGCCTGACCAATGGGATGAAACCCCGTCTCTACTAAAAATACAAAAATCAGCTGGCGTGGTCACATGCGCCTGTAATCCCAGCTACTCGGGAGGCTGAGACAGGAGAATCACTTGAACCCGGAAGGAGGAGGTTGCAGTGAGCCGAGATGGCGCCATTGCACTCCAGCCTAGGCAACACAGCGAAACTTCGTCTCAAAAAACAAAAACAAACAAACAAAAAAAGAAGTGGTATTTAATTAGGTCTTTATCAACCTAGGGATTTGGGGTTGTCAGCAACAGAAACTACTACAGAAACCGACTACTTAGACTGGAGAGACAGGTGGTCCCCTAAGGGAAAATAAGAGTGTTAGGAGAAAGGAGAAGAGTGCTGGACAGTACATACTTAACAAGTATCCACTGGTTATTTCATAGAAGACCCAGAAATGTATTTATTTACAGTAATGTATTCATTACCCAGTAATGAAATCTGAGGGTTAGGAAGAGCAGAAAAGAAGGGAGTGTGGCAGGAAGGAGGAAAAATCAAAGTGGGCCCAAACAACATGGCAGCTAACAGAGATCTTGCAAGGAAAGGTCTACTGGTGGAAAACTCCTCCCAGGAATGTCAGAACTTTTAATAACGACATAGTAATGACACAAGAATAAACACACAGCCAAATGAGCAAACAACAGAATACAAAGTCTAGAAATAGACACAAGTAAATATGCTAACATTATATATCAAGGGCAGCATTTAAATTCTCTTGGGGCAGTTTGTTTAACAAATGGTGTTGACATAACTGGCTCTCCATCGCACAGAAGTTAGACCCCAGCTCATACATGTATAAGGATAAACTCCAGTTATATTAAAGATTTAATTTTTTTTATAAAAAGAAGAAGGCCGGGCGCGGTGGCTCACGCCTGTAATACCAGCATTTGGGGAAGCCGAGGCGGGTGGATCACCTGAGGACAGTAGTTCGAGACCAGATTGGCCAACACAGCGAAAACCCATCTCTACCAAAAATACAAAAATTCCGGGCGCCTGTAATCCCAGCCACTCGGGTGGCTGAGGCACGAGAGTCGCTTGAAACCGGGAGGCAGAGGTTGCAGCAAGCCGAGATAGCACCACTATACTCCAGCCTGGGCGACAGAAAGAGACTCTGTCTCAAAAAAGGAAAGGGGAGGAGAGGGGAGGGGAGGGGAGGAGGGGGAGGTGGGGAGAAGGGAGGGGAAGTAAAGAAAAGAAAAAGTAAGATAATTCACTGGGGGAATGTGGGGAAACCTTCCTAAGCTGGAAGCCAAGCGTGCGCCCCTCTCATTCCGCCTCTTCCGTTGGGTTCCCATTACTTACGTCACAGGACATCGAGCCAATGGGAACTAGGCATGGGCGACGAGCTCACCCAATGGGGCCGGGGCGGGAGATTTGAAAGGTCCTCGGCCAGGGCGTGGCGTGGCAGATTCAGTTGTTTGCGGGCGGCCGGGAGAGTAGCAGTACCTTGGACCTCAGGTGAGCTGGCCTCCTGTCGCAGGCCTTGCGCCAGGAGTGGGCAGATGATCAGGCAGATCAGAGGGTCCGTTGGGCTGGCCTGCGCGCACACTGCAGGGCTGGAAGGAGGTAGGGATGATAGCAGGGTGGGGGCGGTGAGACCAGCGCCCGGATTGGAGCTAGTGTGCTGACCTGCTCCCTTTTACCAGCTCGGGCTAGCGCTTCCGGCTCGATCGGTCCAACCCCTCCCTCTCTCTCTCTCTTTTTCTCTGCTTCTCACGGCTGTTTCCCTTCTCCGCCCAGCTCTCCTCCCCCTTTCCCTCTAAGGATGGCCCAGAAGGAGAACGCCTACCCCTGGCCCTACGGCCGGCAGACGGTAAGGCCCTTCCCTCCTTCCCCGCGCCCACATGACCCCGCATGGCGAGTTCCTGCTGGGAAACTTGAGATCGTGCAAAGAGCAATCCCTTATGCACTTTCTTTCCCGTTATGCTCCAAAGTACGCGCCCCAAGTTTGATGACAGAACCTGGTCTGAGCATTTGTAGCCAGCCACATCCTGTTAGGTGCTGCCAACTTGAATCTGACCAGCCAGTGACTACCAGCCGGTGAGGGCCTCTGCAGGGTTCATCACACACAAGTGATATCTGGGACTGAGCAGGCAGGGCCTGGCCTTCAGGCCATGATTCCCAACCCATGTCCTAAAAAAATAAACTAGACAGCAAATATAAATAGACTCTAAAAGGATATAAAGTTACTGTTTAAAAGGTCCAAGGCAAGTCTAAATTATAATTTGGAATTAATGAGTAAGTTGAGGTAAGGATCTCAATGAATCTAAATGGATTTATTTCCCAATTGTCCAGACAGATTTCATTGAGGGGCCTCCTCTCTGATTTGAAATGCCACCTTTATTATATATATATAAATTCCCACATATATGTGGGTCTATTTCTGGACTGTATTTTATTCAACTTGCTTATTTGTAGATCTGTACCAATATCACTATTTGGGAAGAGGTTTTTAGGGGCATAGGGGCTTTCTTCTCTTGGCTGAAGAAGAAGGAAGGGGCCCTGCACAGGCTTTGCTCCCTGTTTGTGGAGCTCGGGCTTCCTGGAGAATCTGCCTGTCCCCTTGTTCATCAGCTCCCTCCCTCACGGAGCACTGAGTGAGGCTGTCAGGAATGGAGTCTGAATGAGAAACCATTGTCACTTTTACCTTGGTCACTCCTAAAAGAAAGTGTATCTATTATTTTGAGAAGCTGAAAGTGAGGCCAGGTGCGGTGGCTCATGCCTGTAATCGTGGGAGGCTGAGGCAGGTGGATCACCTGAGGTCAGGAGTTCGAGACCAGCCTGGCCAACATGGTGAAACCCTGTCTCTACTAAAAATACAAAAATTAGCAGGGCGTGGTGGTGCATGCCTGTAATCCCAGCTACTCAGGAGGCTGAGGCAGAAGAATTGCCTGAACCTGGGAGGTGAAGGTTGCAGTGAGCCGAGATGGCGCCATTGCATTCCAGCCTGGGTAATAGAGCAAGACTCCATCTCAGAAGAAGAAAAAGAAGGTGAAAGTGAGAAGTGGTTCAGGGCCATCAGAGTAGCTCTTAGTGTCCTTAAAGGCTGTTCTTGCAAAGGTGTAACCCCTGGTTATTACTATAACATTCAAGGCCTCAAGCTTCTTATCTAAGCCTTAATAAACTAAGCTTTTTGGGAGACTTTGAGAATACCTCTGTCTAAACCCCTTGAATTGTGGGTGTTCACAGTAGAGACCCAGCTCTCTACTGTGGTGTAGGTGAGAGGCTGGATGAATGGCTGTGGTGTTACGGACAGGACTTATACAAGTTGAACAGCTTCATGCCTGAAAAGTGTGGGCCAGGGCCAAAGAGGTGAAATGTTAGGTGTTGGTGTGAGTCTTTTGCCCCTTATCTTAGGCCTACTTAGGTTATTTTTTTATTTTTTTATTTTGATTTTTTAGAGACAGAGTCTCACTCTGTCGCCCAGGCTGGAGTGCAGTGGCGCAATCTCAACTCACTGCAACCTCTGCCGCCCGGGCTCAAGCAATTCTCCTGCCTCAGCCTCTCAAGTAGCTGGGATTACAGGACCGGCACCTGGCTAATTTTTTTTTTTTTTTTTTTTGAGACGAAGTCTAGCTCTGTCGCCCAGGCTAGAGTGCAAGGGCACAATCTCGGCTCACTGCAACCTCTGCCTCCTGGGTTCAAGCGATTCTCCTGCCTCAGCCTCCTGAGTAGGTGGGATTACAGGCACTCACCACCACGCCCAGCTAATTTTTGTATTTTTAGTAGAGTGGGGTTTCACTGTGTTGGCCATGCTGGTCTCGAACTCCTGACCTCGTGATCCGCCTGCCTCAGCCTTCCAAAGTGCTGGGATTACAAGCGTGACGCACTGGGCTAATTTTTTGTATTTTTAGTAGAGACGGGGTTTCACCATGTTGGCCAGGCTGGTCTTGAACTCCTGACTGCGTGAGCCACTGCGCCCGGCCCTAGGTTGTTTATTAATAACCCATTTTAACATGGGACTGTGAGCAGAGGCTGGGAGGCAAAACTGTCACATCAGTGTTTCTCTTTGAATTGGGGGTGGGTGGGTGGGTGGCTCTTTAGCAAGGGGCTGAAATACTGCTTGCAGCACATTCCACCCGGGTCATCAGACAAAGGCACCCTCAGAGCTACCCCCTGCTCCTTCTCAGGCTCCGTCTGGCCTGAGCACCCTGCCCCAGCGAGTCCTCCGGAAAGAGCCTGTCACCCCATCTGCACTTGTCCTCATGAGCCGCTCCAATGTCCAGCCCACAGGTACCGGGGGCAAGGGGGAGAGGACTGATGAGCGTCTATGGGAGGGTTTAGGGATGAGAAAGTCATCCCTGTTCTCATTCAACTTACCTGTTGTCTCCTTAGCTGCCCCTGGCCAGAAGGTGGTGGAGAACAGCAGTGGGACACCCAACATCTTAATGTAAGTGCCCCAAGCCTTGGGGTGGAGGGAGGTGAGGGGACAGTGAACGGGCAGGGAGTCGGGAAGATAAAACCTAAGGGCAGGAGGAGTAGAGATGAAGAGAAGTGGGGCGGGGGACAGGATGAGATGAGGAAGCGGAGAGAAAGCAAACCTCTTAATAACCAAAACCGGTTCTGAGTTGCCTTTCCCCACTTTCTAAGCAGGCGGCACTTCACAATTGATGACTTTGAGATTGGGCGTCCTCTGGGCAAAGGCAAGTTTGGAAACGTGTACTTGGCTCGGGAGAAGAAAAGCCATTTCATCGTGGCGCTCAAGGTCCTCTTCAAGTCCCAGATAGAGAAGGAGGGCGTGGAGCATCAGCTGCGCAGAGAGATCGAAATCCAGGCCCACCTGCAGTATGGGTTGATGCCCCCTGAGCCGAAGCCCCTCTGCTCCCTCACCCTAGCTCCTCACTCAGCCCTACCTCATCCAGATTGCTTTCTCTGTAGCTATGGCTAGTGAGCCCCATTTAGCCCTTAGTCCTGGCCAGAGCCTTGAATCCAGAAATCTGCCTCCAGTTTCCCCTTCCCACTCCCATTCCTGGTGTCCCCAGCCTGGGCCACGTCTGACCCCAGTTTGCTCCTATTATCTTTCCCAGCTCTTTTATGCCTTTGGCCTGAGGCTTCCTCTGTCTCTTCCCTCAGCCATCCCAACATCCTGCGTCTTTACAACTATTTTTATGACCGGAGGAGGATCTACTTGATTCTAGAGTATGCGCCCCGCGGGGAGCTCTACAAGGAGCTGCAGAAGAGCCGCACATTTGACGAGCAGCGAACAGCCACGGTCCGGGCGGGTGGGCACCTGGGCCGCCAGTAGGGGGCTGGAGGCTGAGGGTGTGCTGCTTGTAGCTGGAGGTCCATTCTTGTCTGATTGCCTGTCGTTACCCCTCCCAGATCATGGAGGAGTTGGCAGATGCTCTGATGTACTGCCACGGGAAGAAGGTGATTCACAGAGACATAAAGCCAGAGAATCTGCTCTTAGGGCTCAAGGGAGAGCTGAAGATTGCTGACTTTGGCTGGTCTGTGCATGCGCCCTCCCTGAGGTATGGTGGCCTGGGAGGCCAGCCCTGGGTGTGAGGCTGGGCCATTAAAACCTCTCCAGGGGCTGGGCGTGCTGGCTCACGCCTGTAATACCCGCACTTTGGGAGGCCGAGGTGGGCGGATCACCTGAGGTCAGGAGTTCGAAACTAGCTTTGCCAACATGCTGAAACCTTGTCTCTACTAAATATACAAAAATTAGCCGGGCGTGGTGGCGGACACCAGTAATCCCAGCTACTCGGGAGGCTGAGGCGGGAGAATTGTTTGAACCTGGGAGGCGGAGGCGGAGGTTGCAGTGAGCCGAGATTGCGCCATTGCACTGAAGCCTGGGCGGCAGAGTGAGACTCCTCTCAAAAAAAAAAAAACAAACAAAATGGTTAGAATGTGGTGCTAAGAACCCCAAGGTCACGGGTTTGATCCCCGTATGAGCCAATGGTAAAACTTTGGCCAGGTGCGGTGGCTCACGCCTGCTAATCCCAGCACTTTGGGAGGCCAAGGCAGGTGGATCACTTGAGGCCAGGAGTTCAAGGCTAGCAGACTAGCCTGGCCAACATGGCGAAACCCCATCTTTACTAAAAATACAAAATGTATTAAGCAGACATGGGGTGCACACTTGCAATCCCAGCTGTGCGGGAGGCTGAGACATGAGAATCACTTGAATCCGGGAGGCAAAGGTTGCAGTGAGCCAAGATCGCCCCGCTGCACTCCAGCCTGGACTCTGTCTCAAAAAAGCCCGGAGCAGTGGCCTTTTTTCCTCCCACATCATTTTTTAACGGTTTCATAGTATCACATAGTAGCTGATTTATTTAAGCAGAACATGCCTGATGGGCATTAGAGATGTCCCCAGTGAACTCCAAAATGAACTCCAAATGAACACTGCCCTCATAGC